TTCGAAGTTGTGAGGGCTCTAAATCTTGACTTGCCCCCTAGATTTTATTTTTTTCTTGATGAGCCAAATGAGTCAACTTCTAGCAACAATTCGTACACGATTTTGGATTATTGCACATGGTCTAGGCTGATAATGGCTTCATTTGGCTTATAACCCCAAAAATTTCAAAATTCAGTAATTTTCGCAAGATGCATGGAATTTTTCTGATTCGTTTTCAAAACTCAAATAGTTTTGGGAGGTTTTAGCGTTACACTCTACATAATGCTAAATTTTGAGTGCGCCATATCCACAGGGAGTTGAGTTATGGAAGTAGTTGCAAAACTTATCTAGCCTAATACAATCAATTTTTCCAAAGATCAAAAGGAAGGAGCAAGTAAGTCCAAGCTACTCGTTGATTCAACTGGCTTGGCGGCTGAAAGGCGGGAGTTCGTGACCTAATTAAGGCTAAGATAGTGATATGATCAGAAAGCACGCGCGCGTGAGACACGCAGACTGCGTCGCGGGTGCGAACGGACTTAATTAGGTCAAAAAGCCTCTTTCCAGCCGCCAACCCAGTTGAATCAAATGCTAGCGACCACGACATGCCACAATGTAATTGTAATCAGAATAAATGCAAAGATTAAAATGCAAATGAAAAAAGAATAAATTCAGTACGGCCTTTCCGCATCTTGCTTTTGCCCATACCCAAAAAATTTGTTTGACGATATTTGTCCCTTTGCTGAATGTACGAAATGATGGCAAAACAAAAGGATTTTTTTGAAAACTTTCCTAACTTTGAATTAGAACCATCTTTATTATAATTCCAAACGATGTTGTTATTATCCAAAGTAACTATATTCGAGATAATGTTAATATTCCTTTTACGTTTTGAATCAAGTGTTGTTTAATGGAAAATAAATTTTGAAACTCATTATAACACATAAAGATGCTACATCAGTTTAAAAAATTCTTGTAGCTGAAATGCTACCAGATAAAAAGTTACACTTCAGCTTTCGACACCGCAGTCCATGCTCAGCTTCACTTGAGATGAGAGAAAACTGACGGAGTTTACATTTTACGGATTTTTTGATTTCGAGAATCTGGCTGCGTATGTGAATAATTCACGCATCACTAAACTTGCTGTATTGTAGAAATATCAGGTTGATGCACATTTCTTGCACTAAAAAATAGAAAAAAAATAATTTAAAAATGCTTCAATACTTGTCAACTTACCTAATTGCTTTTTATTATGTATATCAAAAGTGGTATCTTATAGTACATTCTAAAATATCATTATGAAGAAAGTTCGTGACTATTCGCAAAGACCGTTAATCACTATCAGGTTCTCTTAGTAAAAAAGAACATGTCATGAAACATAGGCCAAAAAATAATCTAAAATCCTTCAAAAAGCGCAAGATTTGCTCTTTGTACTGTGCGCCAAACCAGAAGGTTTTTTAAAAGCTGGATGAATAACCAGAATTTTGAAAATTTTGATGTAAGAATTATGCACCAGCCTACTAGATGCTAGCTGAAATAGTCGGCAAAGATGCTTAGACTTCGCATCGCATACTACTCCTGACTCAAATCCATGAAAAAACTTCATGTAACTGTTAACGTTCCCTTGGATGATTAATTCAACCCTACGATAATCGTATGTTAAACTGGTTACGAACTACCATTTGTAGTAGTTTTACAAATGGTTAACCAGAACAAGTGTTCAAAACGGGTTGGCGATGACGATGGGCTAATTCACAAGTATTAGCAGCAAGTCACCACCCAATGATGAGCCAACACGCAAAATATTGGCTTCAGTCGATTAACAAGATATGATCTTGTTAAGGATATATTAGGTTGTTTCTAAGTTCGTAGTGTTTTGTCAACGAAATAACAGAATTTTAGCAAAATTCAGTCAAAAATGTTTGTTACATTGCTGCGCGCAACCTTCTGCCACCATGCCATCAGATTTTCATTTTCGTTTTTTTAAAACTCAGGTGGTCTGGCCCCGAAAATGTAGTTTAATCAGTGCCTGAGATCGTCTTCAGAATCAGAACAGGCGTCGTCCATGCGATTTGTGATAGAGTGGAACAGATGATAATATTGTAGAGCGAGATCTCAGGAGTACATTGGATACTAATGTACCTCCCGGTCAAGTCTTGCAAGACAGCTATGGCGACGGTTGCCGCAGGGGGCAAGTATTGTAAGCATTGCCAAGTATCGTCACAAAAAGCTCACTGAACCTGTTTATTAGACCTTTTCTGCACTTAGAATTCGTTTAGAGTATGCAGTCGGATTGCGTAAGATATGAGACGTCTCGTTCTCGCCCAACAATTTTCAGGGCAGAAGCTCCTGCAAAAGGTCTTGTGCAAGGGACAATTTGCAAACTCTTTGTTTTTTGAAGCAATCCAATCCTTTTTTTCTCATATTGACGAGAAAACGCCACAATCCAGAATTGGCAGAAAAATCTGCTCAAAATGCATTTTTTTCACGAGAAAAAATGAGGAAGTGCCGAAAATGCTTTTTTTTGCCTCTTGAGAAATCCTTCTTTGGAGGCTGTGAAATTAAAGAATATCAGCTTTCCATCAATAGTAGCCAGTTTATTTTGAAGAACATGATCAGCTTTTTCACAGTGATATACGCATCTCGCCACAAATAAGCCGCTCCTCAAAGAAATGAGGACAGAATGAAAACTCTACGAATTTACGAAACGACCTAATATTACAAAACCAAATCTAATCATTAATCAAATTCAAAGTGGCTAAGAGTACCAAAACAAGCCAAAAAATACTCTTTGCCTCAAATTTTTGCACAGAAATTCTCTCGTGGTAATCATCCACATACTTACTTCTGAGCACAGTATGGTTTGCGAAAGAAGACGATATTTTTATTGCGAGAACCCGCGGCCTTTAACACTGCCTTTTGGCAGTCGCGGACCTTGAATTCCTGGGCTGACGACCCGCGGCCACAGACTTGTTTGCTTGGCTACCCGCTGCTCGATGTTATCGCGAGGGAAAGACCCCGTCCCTAACTGTTTTATCGGAACCCGCGGCCCAAGAAAAAACACTTGGTCGATCCCCGGTTCTTGTAGGGGCTTTGCATATCTGGTTTTTGGACAAGCTCCAGCCCTTCAAACGACGGCCCGACAAAACCATTTGCCAGGGTCTTGCTGGACTCGCAATTCTTACACGCTGTGGGAGAAAATGTTACTTAAGAGAGGACGCTGTTTTTGTTTGTTTGCATGTGTTTAGGAGACAAAATGGTAATCAAACTGATATGATATTTATGTCATCTGCAGTCTCCCATACCGGATTGTGATGTTACTTTTGGAAAAAAGACAATTGCAATAACTGCCATACATTTTGTTACTCTAGCTATAATCCACGGTGTTCTAAAAGTATGTAAACTGTTTGATCGCTAATACCTCTTTTTCCTGGAATTCTTTTTCATACTTCCAAGCACCACTTTGTAAAGCTGACTTCAACTTACGTTTACAATGCGGAGCAAATCAGACAATTCTTATTTACTGTAGAATTACGGTAGGAACTTTAAGAAGGGTTGCCATTGAGGATTCATTTTGCCTCAGAGTGAAGACCAAACAACCTCACAACTCGTGCACTCTCGGCCAGTAAGATTTGCTGAAACCAAGTATGAAGTTTGCATTTTACCGTATTGCTTCCTTCATAATTTATGTCAAATAAATAATAGCGATAACAGCTAATAATAGCTATCTTTAAGAAGCCTTTAAAGTTGTGATTACACCGTTTGAAAATCTAAAAAACCAACAAAATTGAGTTATGAAATCAGCACGAGTAAAATCCCTTATACACCACTTTTCAGGAGTTTTGAGAGCATTTGAAATGTGACTGACACACAAAGACGCTGAGAGCCAGCGTTTCTACCGTAATCCTACAGTAATGAGGAATGATCTGCAATCCGCTCCATACTGTGAATCTAAGTTGTAGCCACCTCTACAAGATGGTACCTACACTTAGGCAAAAAACTTTTTGAAAAGAGAATTATCAAAGATTAAACAATAATTAACATGCTGGCTTTATGTACTTTAAGACCCAAAAATGAATTTCGCACAAAGGATTCGCACACAGTACTGCTCATATTTTTGAGGTCACTAATGAAAATGCCTCCACTAATGGGAAAATTGCTGTCAAACATTTTTTCAATGAAGGGCACTACCAATAGTAAAATGCAGCTTTGACCTCACATTATCGATTATTTGAAGATTATATTGAGGATTTCACTTATTGAAGTTTCCTCAACTTTACACTGGAATTCCTACCAAAGCGCATGTTCCAATGTTCAAATGTTTCATCCAACAAGTTCCTCAACTAAATTGCGGAAGTAAACATATTTGAGACACTCAAAATTCACCATAGATTTGTTTTTTATCATACCAAACCAATACAAGCTCAAAAAATATTTTCTTCGAGTTCTAGACTCGTCTGTTGCTGACCACTTGAGTTATTGAGTACACTTGCATGTGTTCTTTTCTATAAATATTAGTTTCATAAGATCAAAACAGATGTTGGTATATAAGCAGGTGCGCATGGCGGGGTGCATGCATCGTTTCAACGTTCAGAATTCATCTATTGTGACCTCCCACATCAGCTAAATACTTGTCTACATTCTTGATCAAGATCAATAGTATTCCCTCTCTAACCATATAAAAAGACTGTGCCGAATCATAAGCAGAATGCCAACAACATCTTTTTTGCTCAAGCCTATCTAACTTCCTCTTTTGTAAGGAAACATGCATTACTTATATTAGATTGATGTCATATCTGTCAAAATTCAAAACAGCATTAGCTCAAAGCCCTCTCCCAACGCACCAATCAGCGTCATCGATTACGGTAAAAGTACGGTCTAAGCTAAGGTTCACTTGTATTGCTGGCTCATGAGCAAATGTTATAACCGTTTAAAACAGATTCATTTGAGTTCCCCTACCACTTCCGCATAAAAAAGCCAACTCCATTTTTGCCTTCGCATTGCTTGCGAAATCTTCTACTTCAAGGTCAATAGGCAATAATGCGTGCTTGGATGCTTACTCTCTTCGTTCTGATGCTCACAGCCATGTGCTTCACCATGGCGGAACCTGTGCCAGTGGATGCGGCAGAAGCGAAGTCGGACGTCAGGTAACAAATCTCTTTCTCGAATTTCTTCGGAACAGCTGCAAACAGCAACCCATACATCGAAAAATCTGAACTGAAATAATTTATATTTCAGCAGCAATGTCCGCCGAAAGAGACAATTTCTGTATGGATACCCCAGCTACAGTACGTATTCATATTACCCCAGCTTTGGCCGTCTCTATTATCCCTCCTTGTCTATATGGGGTTGACTGAGGATAACGCAAAATGACACCCTTATCCTATACCTTTTTCATTTTCATTCGTATTTGCTTGTAGTATGATGTAGTTGATGCTGTAGATTGCTGTAGATGTACTTGTAGCTGTAGATTCATGATACTGTGCAGTAAAATAACCAAATAAAAGTAAAAAAATTGGTGGAACAAGACAAAAAAACTATATTGCAGAATTCTGTCGTACTCTAGAAAATGACGCTTTCAAAAATTTTTGAACACTGGAAACTTTTACAAGTTTTGGAAAGTTTTCTCATGCTATCACCCATTTGAAAATAAATGGGAGCAACTTAGTTGGTTTTCCTAAAGATAAATAGAATTCTACAAGAAATTGTAGGATTATTTTACAACAGAATCGATAATTCAATAACTCACTTTCAAAAACTTCACAGCCTAATTCCGGTACTAAAAAGTTCTTTGTTCCCGGGGATAAACGGTTTGAAACTGAAAATACATGCTTACCGTTCTTCCACTCATTCCCCTTCCCGGGCTCGCCCATCAAACACTAGTCTGTAGAAACCCCACAGCCAATGTATCACTAAGATTTTCGATTTTCGCATTTCTTGTTTCAATTTTTTCTCAGTATTTTACAAAGCATTTGGCATAGTGTTAGTATGAGTCCGAAAGGTCTAAGTCAGCTCTACCAAAATATTATTATCATATTCCCTGTTTTTGAGAAGTTGAATAAAAAATTCCACTACAAACAAAAAATCTGACATGGCGAAAAACCCATTTTCGACAGCTATGTTATGCAGCGTCTTGAATGGGTTTGAGCGTTTGAGAGACAGCTCAAAAATTTTGCGACATGCGAAAATAGATTACCGTAGCTACTGCAGATTACTTGTAGGTGCTAAAACCTTTCAATGATTCATACTGTAAGCTCAAGAAAAAGGTTTTTTTCTATGTCTCTTTGGCGTCAATGTTGAGCATCTAAAGGCACTTTGAGGAAGGGTGGCAGACGAACAATCCAGGAATTGGAAAACAAACAATGTGCGCTATGTTCGCTAAATCATTGAATAAATGGGTTATGTAGTGAAAAATTTAGAATTGGAGGAGACACAACCCACGTACGCGAGACAACAAACACCGCTGCGGCAAAGCCTTGCTACGCCGACTTTTGCAAAAACTGCATTAATTGGCCGGTGAAAAGAAGTGGACGATCATAAACAGTTTCAATAAGTGCATAAATGATCAGTCAGTTGTTTTTCTTCATTGTCAAGCTTTTTGAACAAATTTCAACAATGAATGACGGGAAAACCAAGAAGGAAAAAAATGTCGAAAATGGAATTTTTGTCTTCTCAAATTTTTCGTTGTGAATTAAATTTTTGTTCAACTTTTCAGGAACTGAAAATATAATAACAGAAGTCTGATAGAGCAGATTTAGCTTTTAATCGCATGCTAACATTTTGCCAAATACTTTGCAAAATATCGAGAAATAATCAAAATAAAAAATGCGAACGAACTTATTACACAACCTAATATAATGAGGTCAATAATGTCAATATAATGAGGTACTTATGAGTTGGTCAATATAATGAGGTACTTATGAGTCAATATAATATAGTCAGGTCAATATAATGAGATACTTATGAGTTGTCCGGATAAGGTCTTCGCCCTTATCCGGACAACTCTAAGTACTCTCTGCTTCCTTGTGGAAACCTGAGAAAGGCTCGGAAAGAGGTGTCAACCGAAACTCAGGTACTTGGTAAAAGTTTTTGGCGTACCCCAATAGGACAACAAGATCACAGTAATAACGCATTTTTTCGAGATTTTTTACTGTGATTAGCTCTCATTATAGATAGCTTTAATTTTCCCGATAAGAACGATTATGTGATTCTAATCACATCTATAAACATGTTTACGTACCGACCTAAACTAAAAATCGCACATAGTCGATTTGAGAAAGGAAAAGTTAATTATAAAACGCTACTCCTATTGAGAAAGTCCGAAAAATAGCTAAAGCAAAAAATCTTCCCAGCGCTTTCTAAACCTCGCCTTTTTTGCACAATATTTTTCCTTCTTCGCTTACATTGCCATGACTTCTTTGCTTATAAGAATAAGCTCAGGCATGTTAGTAAGAAATTTTTTGGAATTGAGGTTGTCTGGATAAACCCAACCCCTGCTTTGCTGTGGTTTTCCTAATAATAGTTAAGCGTTAATATTGCAGTGTCAGCGAATCTTGCACCAATTTTTTTTACAAATCCATTACTTCTACAAGCGATGTCACTTCGCATCGGTCGTGGGTGTTCACAAGCTGAGGTTGCGCGCCGCATGCGGCGGAAACGATACGAGAGCGTGATTGTTGGGCTGCGTTCAGATGTGGCCGCTATGGGCTCCCTTGCTCTTCTCATAGTTACGTTTTCCTTTATGCGACTACATTTGCTTACGTGAGCTTACGTCTAATTGCCGTTTATGCGCTTGCAATTTGACATGTTCTCGCTGTTTAAATGATACAATTTTCGTTGAATTGATACAACGCTGCCAGGGGTTAAATTTTTGTTTTGGTTACTTGTAATGTTCCTGGAGCGCGAACAATGATGAGCTTGCGTAATTGAATTCGCACTCGAGTTGTGATATTCCGTTGTAGTATCTTTCGATGTGTTTCTTCGACTGCTGTCTACAAACATATCGATTGAGTAAATCTTTGGTCGTGGTACACTACATATCACATCGACAAAGGGACAAACTTAGTCTAGTGGAAAGGCCCACGACCGATGCGGCGTGACATCGCCTATAGGTTGTTGGATGCGAAAACCATGATTAGCAAGGAGGAAAACTCTCAAATAATATAATCCATTCATGATAGTCAAAATCTACAAAATTTGATGAAGCCTAAGTCTTCTAGCATTGCGTCGTTGTCATTTATTCTTTCAAGTAAAACCAGGTATAAGAGTAGGCACGTCCAAGCAAATCATCTTTTTGATTTTTTTGATTCTCTATGTTTAAAGATGCACCATTTTTTGCATTATAGAATGTACAATAAAGGTAGAATTGTTTCTGCGAACATACTGAATTTTTTGGTGTTAGCCTTAGGAAAAAGTTACTGTTTCGTTGCGATTTTTTCGAGCGCACTTGCTAAAATACCTTTGAAAACAGAATGGTGTCAACATTGAAATATAGACAAAATCGAAAATTTCTGTCATGCAATAATTGTAGGTTCGCAAATCCTGTTGCGATGGTGTTAGGGCCGTTTTAAAAGTGCTTTTCAAATTTTTGTGTTTTTCTGATTTCTTTTGCCACTGGCTTTCCAAAAATGAGCAAAAAAGCGCTTTTCTCGACATTTTTTCGTAGGCCCAAAATCCCAAAATATGACGATTTTTGATTTTCTGGCTACTAAACAGCTAAACAATTCTGCAAAAACTGTCAACAGAAGGCCTATCCTTACGCTTACAGAAATGAGCAACTTTGACGATTGCCCTCTTCAAAAGAAATTTATGGGCCACAGAATAAGCAAAACCACTACCCATTTTAAGGCGCCGAAATCTCAGTCTAGATAATCTTATATATAAAGCTGAATGTCTGTTTGTCTGTATGAGTCTGCACCGTCTGCACTCCAGACAGGTTCCCATGTAAACCACCGCGCGCGCACACGCCCGCGACGCCGTTTGATCGACTCATTTCAACTGTTTTACTTTTTCTGGACAAATTCTTCAAAAATTTTCGCAGTTTTGTCCTTTCTTATGCTCCTTACTCCTCTCTCACTCTCTCTTACATTCGTTTCCCTTCCAAAGTGCTTTCATTCAATTACAGTGCTTTATGCTGCTGCTATAACAAAGTTATTCTTTTACGTATTATATTCTGTTGTTTTGTTTTTAGTAAAACGTCATCTAATGCATTCGTACGCTCGTTATTCGCTGCCACCGACTATTTTTTGGGTATTGTTTTGTTTTTGCATGAAATATTGGTCTAATACATACTATAGTGGTGAATCTGTCATTGTTTTCTTAGGTAACCGTTATGTCTTCATCAAAAAATCAGTGAATGATCTTCCTGTAAATATTCTGAAAAAAACTACTTTTTAGCTCTTCCAGGTGAAAATACAATTAAATCGCTTCCAAAAAATTTTCAATCTGTTTCTAGTCGTTCTCATATTTTCAAGAGCAACTCACTATTTTCAAAAACAGTGACAGATTTACTATTATACTCATGTAGTAAACAAATATTTTACGCAAAACAAAACAACACCTAAAAAAATAGTCGATGACAAGGAATAGCGAGCGTACGAACGCATTACATGACGTTTTACGAAAAACAAAACAACAGAATATGATGGTACGTAGAAAAATAACGTTGTTATAGCAGATAAAGCATTGCATTTGAATGAAAGCACTTTGGAAGGAAAAAAATGTAAGAGAGAGTGAGAGAGGGGTAAGGAGTATGAGAGAAGATGAAACTGCGAAATTTTTTGAAGAATTCGTCTAGAAATAGTAAAGCAGTTGAAATGAGCCGATCAAACGAAATGATGCTGAAAAAGCCGAAGCATTAGGTGATTATTTTGCCACAGTGTTTTCTTCGTACGATGATGATGCAAATTCTCCCCCCGAATACATTGCGAGTTCTGTTCAAAGTTGCAGTATGGTCTACTTCTATGAAAATGAAGTTAGAACTATTCTCAGCTCACTCAAGTCTTCGTGCACGGAGCTTTTCGATGGTATTCCACCAGTTGTTTACAAAAAATGCGCCGATAGCTTTGCCAGACCTCTTTGTGATATTTTCATTCTCTCAGTGTATTTCTGTGAGTTTCCAGGTATATGGAAGGAGGCTATAGTCACCCCTATACCTAAAACCTCAACGCTGACAATTTCTGATTTTCGCCCCTTAGTCTATTACCAACTCCTATCAAAGTGATGGAAAAGGTCATAAGAAATAAACTTTTTCGCTGGATCAAGAGGACTAAACAACTTCCTCCTGAACTGCATGGATTTGTTCCTAGAAGAGGTACCACTACTAATTTAGTTAAGGCTGTTTTTGATTGGAGAAAAGCTTTGAACTCTGGTTTTACTGTAGATGTCATTTATATCGATCTTTAAAAAGCGTTCGATAAAATTTCCCACAAACTACTTCTGCTTAAACTACAAAATTTCGGAATTTCTGGCAAACTTTTGAATTGGTTTAGTTCCTATCTTCAAGATA